AACTATAGACCAATATGAACCACAATTAGTGCCCACATTGCATGACCCGGACGGACCCTGGACCGACGGAAATAACAGTTGCCAATTATAAACTACGCCACTGCGACTGCTAATTATGTCCAGCATGGCTTAACGCACATTGCAGCTTCTAATTAATGCCCACACTAAACGACTATATAACTGTACAAACACTCTGAAAGGTTAATTGTTCTTTGCACCGTTTCTCAAGTCTGACGACGACCTGGGGATCCAATGTCGACATGTTACTGAATAAATCTCCTTAATGTTCCTAAAGGGCGTCCTTTCTTGAAATTGCATTCCTTGGGATGCCTGCCTTCCAGTTTATACGAAATAATCGTGATTATTATGGTGGGTAAACTGCGTGCATTACCGGAGCCGCTAAACTCACATTTCCTTGATGGAAGGCCTGGGTATGTAGAAGCTGTTCCATTGCTTCTTTTCTCTGGAGTGCCGGGCCACCTAGGTCTGACCTAGCAGTTATTTCAGTGTTCTATTTCTGGCTAACTGATAGCAGCTGCTCCAGTAATCCCCTTTTTGCCTGCATCCTGACTTCCGAGAATATCCCACTGACTGACGACGCTCAGAATTGGCCTCAGCTTAGTCAGTCAGGTGTGTAGACAACGCGCATCTTACGGGCAAAGGCCAGCCTGCCTTATCACCCATCGTCCCTCGTATTTATGTCCCCTTGACTGTCCCTTTTGACCTGACCAATCAGATACTCCCGCGTGCTGACGCGAACAATAACGAACCCGGACGCAACACATCGCTGCCCACACCGTCGCATTGTTCACACACAAGCAAACAGTAAGTCCACGGCAACTCGCCAGCTGTACCCAATAAATCACTTCGAACATCTGACTGCTTTCTTCCATCAGACGGAATATCCTAAGTGTTGTGGTTATAGTAGCTCGCCTATCCTTGACCGCCACAGGACCAAATATACCCCTCAAATTTGACCAAGGTAAGTTCATTACTACCCAAAGAGCTGCTAATGTCCTTAAACGGATCCTTAAGTGCCTGCCTACAAGCAAAATGACACATACAAATTTAAAAATTATTTTTACCAGCGTAATTAATAATAAACACAGAAAAATAATATCAAGCGAACCTTGAGTGCTCTGACTTCGCCACTAGTGGACACTTGGAAGTCATTATGTCCCGATGAGGAGGAATAGTATGACAGGGTATTTTCTCCAATATCAGCGTCCGGAGCCGTAAGACGAGCAAACGCCGAGTTAGCCTGTGTGTTTTCCGGCAATGGAATTGTCTGATTGGGATACGGCCAACGTGGGTACTCATCGTTCACGTCTTGAAGAGTCACATTGATCACCGCATAGGACGTCCCAACTTCATTGGTGGCGATGACAGTTACCAGGTAAATCTACAACGCATTTAAGTGTGAAAGGTTACTAAGAAAATCAAAGGTGTGGGATAAAAGCGTATGTTCTGCATGCATCTGTACTAGGGTAAGAGTAGGTTATTTAGTATAAGCACGTTAGATACACTTTAATAACTACTATATTCGTTTAAGTAGACAGAATTATGCGTATTTATTTTATATAATTACATTTTCCGATATCCGGACTCCTCGGATTGCATCCCACTGCTGACGGTTAGTGCACTTTGACTTATCTTTGTACTCTGACAAGCTAAGATGCAGCAAAATATTCGTATCTCGGAAGTGATTGTGGAATTAATTTAATTGGTCCTTCACACAGGACAACAGGACTACTTACTCGATTATCACCGTCTATCAGAAATGTGTCTGCTTGCAGTTCCATCGGGTTATGCTCATAAGCTTTGGAATTACAAATACTTTAAGTAATACGAATAGGATGAACGCAAAAATCCAAACACCGGCAGTATGCCACAGCGCTTAATGCCGTCAGAAGGAGTTAGATTATTTTTCTATCAAACATTTGGAATCAATTTAAACTTGCCGGAAGTCCTTGCGGCTTATCGCGATTCAAGTCGGAGACGACCCTCAAAGCACCGGTTTTTGAATTGATTTCAAAACTGGAAGCAAAATAGCCGCCGAGTGTGTAAGTGATCCGTGGATTATCGTTGGGATCAGTGGCCTTTGGCTGATGGTGAAAAAACGCAAGTTCTCAAACATACAAGGAATTTGTAGATCGCTTAGACAAGTATGACCGAAGCAATGGAACAAGCTACAAGCATGTGAAGAAGTGAAGAGTCAGCAATTGAATATCGTTTTTTAGTAAATATAGCAAAAATTAACTGTATTATTAATTAATTAAAACACATGGATTCATCCGTTCAGTGGCAAGACTCTCCCAGTTGAAGTATCTTACTAAATTCGTGATTAGAGGTTAAATGCTTGAGTAATACCTGCATAATGCGTGAAAAATGTGCAGTAGGAAATAAATGAAAGCCCCTTCTAATTGTTTTACTCAATTAAAAGTTGGGTGAAAGGGTTGTAGAACGAACAGGAGAAAGCTGTAAGAGTAATTCTTATTGGTTAACAAAGGAAACCTACAAATCAATAATATTATATCAAGAACTCATATTGGCTAACAAAGGATTCCTATATACCACGAAAAATACTAGAGCAACGCCTATTAGCATAAGGCGCCTCTACAATGAATCCCTACCAATAAAAGGAGACTAAAAATATAGAATATATGGAATAGTAAGTAAAAGTATTCATAAACGATGATTGATTAACTTAAATATTGTTGGATTTTTGTTTCATAGTTGATTTCGATAGTTGGACTGTCTGTCTAAGAGCACGTAAAATAAAATAGCGATTACTTGCCGATACCGGCAGAACTGCGAGTTAGACGAAAAAAGTTATTGTACCAGTGGTCGCGTCTACTTTTTTCGCAATGATTACTTGTATGCCGTGACGCCGTACTGTTCAATCTGATTTTCTTAAAACAACTGTTATGATTATAATTTGGCAAACTGCTGTAGTAAACGCCTTTTGAATGCTTAAAAGTAGAATTATAAAGAATGGCACTCTGTAGGAGGAATCGTATACCATCATTTGTAATGGATACATGCGAAACACAGACAGCCACCGACAGGTTTAGTAAAATGAAGCGCATGCTAGTGCAACTCTACTTCTCATACGTTAGCAGTGGAAGCAGTTGTAAAATGCAAGCCTATAGGCTGTCTGTTAAACTATCGAACTGAATTAAGAAACAACAACTCAACAGCATAGTTTACGAGGTGTGTATAGGCACCTCTTACCGGAAACTTTACGAACTTTAAAGAATGGCTCGGAGAGACAAAAGAACAACGAATTCACAAAGTGCAACAGGAACTATTACACGACCTTGATTGTAGCAATTAGTTTAACGACCGATTAATATCTGAATGAGTAGTACTCTAAAAAGCAAACATAAATGAGAACGAAATAAGCTACGGATCGTGTTTATAGTAAATGCCTGGCTTCCGTACACTGGGAATTAGGTTGGTCAAAGTCCGCTCCTGAATCTGATACTCGTAGGTTTCCTGTGAGAAATAAGGTAGATTTCGGTTGGATTTCATTATATTCACAGTAACATCAGTGGCGGTAGACGATTGACCGTCGGTGACTTCAACTTGGAAGTGGTAAATCTATGAGGAGTAGACGAAGAGCATTAGCAATCTCGATGGTCGCACTGTACATCATAAAGACAAATAAAATACAGGAAAGTTAATGGCCACCTAGGAGAGGAAACCACAGGGGATAAATGAGCAGAGTTAGCGTGTATTACTGGTCGTAAAATGCCATCAAGTAGCAGTGCCAGGGGAGGCTTCTCATCGGTTTTTAGTTTTTGTCTACTTTTGAGCACTCCTTGATAAAATTGTTTATTTTCTTTCTTCCAGAAGATGCATTTTCACTAAACGGACTGTCAGTACTTTAGAATACAACTTAGAGTTCGGGTCGGGTTGTCCACGGCAGGTTTGCTATTCTGCAAGTCAACACCCTCCAAGTAGAGGATGGAATTGAATTTCCATGAAACGAGGTGCCTTGAGCGATCTTTGGGATGCTTAGTAGAAAGTGAACCGGTAGTGCACTGGAAATTTCATAGGCAACAGGGGCCCAAGCACGACTTTCATACCTCCCTAACAGGACAAAGGTAACAAGAAAAGGATCACCCTGCCTGCGATTGCCCCCGTGTTCTGGGGTTAATTTTTCAGCTTTTAAAAAAGGACTTGCTTATTTGTAAACGTATCTTCTGAACGCTTTCTTCAGCTGCCGGTATGTTTGATGCTTTTTAAGTTTTTATAATAATACAATACAATAGAATACAATACAGTCATACAATACAACCGATTGGCTGATGGAAGTCTTGATGTTGTTGTCCATCCATTCCACTCTTACCTTATAACTGAAAAGTCCTCCCTTTACCGCTACCGAGGCTTTTGACATATACGTTGCCGTACATCGGTACACCAGCGTTCTCTATTGCCAATTCTAGTACATTGCCTCACATGCAAGCGATATCCGACCTAAACCGGCTAGACAACGAGCTTGTGACTCAGTGCTTAGGGCGTTTGATTCTCATCAAAGCGGCCGCGTGTTCGAGGCCGGGGTGATGAATCATTTAAATCTGGGTATGACTGGCGGATGACAGTTAATAAGCCAGAAATGGCCATTCCAGTGTCCATTGTCTTTCCAGGCAGTAGTAACAGCAACTGATATTGGAACTGTCTCCCCAATATACAGTTGTACTTTATAGTAACCTGTAGATTCTTGCACATTTTCATAATTTATTCTCGTCAGGACAATAAAACTCTTGTTTCAGTGATAGCTTCTTCGTTTTCTGAATTTATTCTCTATTTTCAATGGATGGAGCCCGTTTGTTTGCATTAATTATGGTGTTGTCAAAATAAAACACATTCCTTTCTCACAATATTTTGTGGTCTTCCGCATATAAGGCAACTAGGGGAAGTTATGCACACATTACATTTTCGAGTCACCACTAAGCGGCAGGCGTGTTTGCTTGACCAACTCATACTGACTGACTGAGGACGGGCAACGGACATGCTTGACTGACATCCAGAACGCCCAGTCAACGCGCTAATGGCGCAGTTGGTCACCAAATTAATGCGCACCGTGAACTCCTGGAAGGGGTGGAGAGAGTGCCACGTGCACACAACGCAGCTGCGCACGAAGATGTCGAAGCATATTCTCCGCTCTGCATTCTTCACTTGACGGTAAATACAACAGTGGAATAAACTTCCGCAATCTATCGTGGAGGCTACGTCCCTGCAGCTGTTCAAACAATGCTTGGATAATTACATGTGTCCATGTCGAACCACACGAAGTCCAGACACGAGTCATTTGTGAAAATAATGCTACTGATATGCTACTTGATATGTGCAATTAGCCATATCATGCAATTGCAAAGTGTCTGGCAGAAAAACTCAAACCGATTCGGCACCAAATAGCACCGTACGGCCTACGGGACACGTTTCAATTCGTCGAGTCTATAAGAAACACAAATATCAAA